AATGCGTGGATGTATAGATATATAGAGATATGAAAAAGATAGATAGATAGATAGATAGATAGATAGATAGATAGATAGATAGATAGATAGATAGATATACCAGGTGAAACCGTAATCATTTACATGGATCACACCAGCATGCTCGGCCGCCATAGCACACAGGGACCACTATTTCCGGTCATACCAGCGGGACAGCTCTCGTCATAAGAGGGAGCTATTTGCTACTGCACGTAACAAATGTTGCTGAGTCCTCGAAGGAGCTAATTCTCTGTTTGCTGAGAGAATGAGGCACCGCATAGCGTCTAAAAACTTTGGCTCTCGTGACTACTGGCGTCTCTGTAATAGGGTACTAAATAAGTACAAGGTCTCTATTTCTCACTCTTCAATCGATTTGAGGTGTTATCATCCTTTGCTGATGAAGCTGAATGCTTTGCTCATAAATTCTCCTCAAACTCTACTCTTGACTCATCTGGAGTATTCCTGCTGATCTTCCGATTTAGAACTGATTCTCTGTTGCGTGATATGCATATAACGGCTTCCATGATGTCTCCTATATATCTCTAACCTGAATCCCCACAAAGCATGTAGACATGATGGTATCGTTGTAATAGTTATTAAGAAGTATGATTCCGAACTAGCTTTTGTTTTCTCTAAATTGTATAATAAATACCTCCCTGCTTTCCTGTCTGCTGGAAGTCATCGTCTGTTGTTCCAGTTTTAAGAACTCAGGTGAACCGTCCGACCCATCTAACTATTGGCCTATTAGCCTTCTGCATCTTTCCGGCTATACCAGCGTGACACCTCTCGCCATAACTGGTGCCTATTTGCTATTGCTCGTAACAAATATATGCGAGTCCCTGTTTGGTGAGAGACTAACAACTTTGGCTCGCGTGATTACTTTTGGCTCTGTAATAGGGTATTAAATAATTACAAGGTCTGTATTCCCCACCCTCTTCAATCGATTTGAGGTGTTACCTTCCCCTGCTAATAAGGCTGAATACTTTGCCCGTAAATATTCCTAAAAGTCTACTCTTGACTCACCTGGAGTATCCCTGCCTAACTTCACACTTAGAACTGAATCTCTGTTGAGTGATATGCATGGTTTTCATGGTTTCTACTATCATCTCTAACCTTGATCCCCACAAAGCACGTGGACCTGATAGTATCCATGTAATATTCATTAAGAAGTGTGCTCCCGAACTGGCTCCTGTTCTCTCTAAACTGTATAATAAACGCCTCGTTGCCTCTTGCTTTCCTGTCTGCTGGAAGTCATCGTCTGTTGTTTCAGTTTTAAGAACTCAGGTGAACCGTCCGACTCATCTAACTATTGGCCTATTAGTCTCTATCACATTTTGGGAACTTCCTGGAGGTCCTAATCAATGCTAAATTGCTTCATCATCTCTCATCACTCGGCCTTTTCTCAGACAAGCCATACGGGTTTCGTTTCTCCAGATCAATTGCTGATAAACTATCGAGAATTTCGGAAAGAATCTATCATGCTCTAGATAAAAACGGTGAGGCCTCGGCTGTAGCATTGGACATCTCGAAAGCCTTTGACAGGGTCTGGCATTCAGGTCTTCTCCACATGCTGAAATCATCTCCGGGCACGTTCTGAAGCTGATCCAGTCGTTCCTATCAAATCATGAAATGAAAAATTGTCCTGAACGGCCACTCATTCTTTCGTACTATCCTTGGTCCTACGCTGTTTTTAATCTTCGTTAACAACCTTCCCGATGACATCAGCTCTCAACATGCCATCTACGTTGAAGACAAAACTACTTACCCCTACCACGATAGTAAGGCTGATCAGTCAGACAAGGTCAAAATAACAGCTGATGTACAAAAGAACCTCGAGACCGTCGTCAATTGGGGAAAAAGATGGCTTGTAAATTTTAACGCCTCTAAAACTAAACTTCTCTTCATTAATCATCTGAGAGACCCCTCTCTGCCTTCCATCAGTATGGCTGATGCTATCCTCCAGGAAAGTGAATCATTGCACCTTCTCGGGCTAATGTTCTCATCTGACATGAGATGAAAATTATATTGAATTCATTGCTAGATTCGCTATAAGAGACAATTTTTCTCCCCGGAATCTATGTTGCATATCTATGGGTCTATTCCTCCATGATTAGAATATTGTTGCCATATATGGTCCGGTTCCCCTGCTATTTATCTGGAGATTCTTGATAAGATCCCAAAAAGAAACAACAATATTATCGGTCCTGATCTGGCGGCGTAAGGTTGCCTCTCTGTGCCTTTTTTAAATACTTTCATGGTTCCTTTATCCACTGGTCCAGGACACATGGTCTAGTGGATAAAAACGTTGGTTGGATCCAGTGACTTGACCCCCAAAATTGTGAGTTCAACACCTGGCTACTGTAGTGGTTAATAAAGACTTGAGTTAAAGGGTGACATCCGGAAGAGGCATGGCACGTGGAACTAGAAGAACCTACTCGGCAGGCGAAATAAAGGGTTCAGTTCGAATTTCCAATCACCTAAAAAGATCAGAGCATACAACGGCCGAAATATCGTGAACATGGCAATAAAGATGAGGTCAACAGTCTGAGCAAAGTAAATAACGCAAATAATTATAATACCCCGTCTCAAACATATAGACAGAAAATAATGAGGCCTAACAGCATAGAAAACGTTTTAAAATGTGGACAAAAGCGAAAAATCACAATATTATCATACAATGAGAACGGTCACAGAAGAAATGTACTGGTTTAAAAAACATTTTGAATCACATTTCAACCCTGACCTCAGTGAAAGAAAAACGTCCTCAAAATCCATCCAATCATTACAAAGTCTGTCTCCAAACATAAACCATAATGAACCTAATGATGAGGAAATTAAGAACCTTATTAAAACATTAAGGAATAAAAAGCATCATTTAACATTAAAGCTGAACTTTTGAAAAGAACTGAAAAAAATTCAGCAACCAGTTTCTCTATTTTAGGAAGGGTGGCTAAAATCCGAAATACACATAAAGTGGACTGCACCAGGAATTAATGCACTATGGAAAGTAACCTTCATGGCGCTTACACATACAGATATATCTCAATTGGATTAATTATAATGAAATTATTAATGGACATTATGTTAACTAGACTCTCATCGTCTTATGAAAATCGATTCTTCATGACCCAATTTGATTTTCGTTCAGGTTATGATGGCATATATGTCATCAAATACATCTAGGAAAATGCATGCCTGTCTAATGGGAACTTGTATATAAGCTATGACGATGCCATATCAATTGTTGACATCAACAGAGACCTCCTCTTCACATCCATTAAAAACCGTCAAGTTCAGAATCCAATATTAGACCCATCGATCCAACAGAGGAAAATTATCCGTCCAGAGAAGCTTACATTTCTGGTGGGGACCCCCCAAGACGGAAACATTCAAAACCTAATCAGCATTACGACAAAGAGGAAATAGGATCCCCAGTCTGTTTAATCTTTTCCCTGAATATGTCCTGTGCATTTACAAACACAAATATGAAGAGATGTGCAATGATCATTTAAGCATTCTATACAACATCTCGAACCAATCTGCTTTCCCTCTCGAGTCCAATGTACTGATGAGGGTGGAGGGAGAGGAGCCTATGCTGATGACATAGGTATACATAGTTGGGATAAGAATGAACTTAAACAGTAAATTAGTATCCTCTATCAAGTTTCCCATAAAATAAGACTCAAAATAAACCTTTCTAAAGCAGAAACTATGATCTGGAATTGGAATAAAAGCAGTAATGATAAATACCCTGAATCAATCAAAAATTAAGAATGTGGATTGAGTAAATACTAAACATTTGAAATATCAGTTATAACAAATTAACAAATTTATTAGAGGAAATAAGGAAATTGAACATAGACTGCATCTGTCTATATTTCTGAGATGAGGTATTATGTACACTATTTACATTGTTCGGACTATTGTCGCCATATTTATCACAACGTTTCGGCTCTTTATTATCTGTCAATATTTCTGAGATGAGGTATTATGTACACTATTTACATTATTGTAAATCTTTGTCGCCATATTTATTACAACGTTTCGGCCGTTGTAAGCTCCGGCCTTCTTCAGGTGGTTGGAATGTCGAACTGAACCTTTTATTTCGCTCACTGGGGTAGACTTTTCTAGTTCCACGTGCCCTGTTTAATGGATGTCAGTTATCAGTTATCTCCAGTTAATTCCCCTCCCCAAGTTCTCCACTGCCTTAGCCGGGTATAGAACTTGGAGAGGGGAATTAACAGGAGATAGCTGATAACTGATCTTAGAGGCGCTTTGGTGTCACATTTTCTGCCGTCTGTTAAAACATTTCCTCCATATTTAAAGTTTAACGTCCCCATTACTTATTTCGTATCCTTGTCTGTCCCTTTTGCTGACAACCATAAAATCTGTCTTCTTATAATTGAGGTTTAGTCTTTTATTCTTGCTTTCCTTTACTGCCTTCTGAAGAAATTCATGTAATTTCTTTTTGTGTGTCCGCTATCAACATTGTGTTATCTGTACATCTTATGCTGTTAAGATTGTGGCTGCCAATAATATATCCTGGTAGGAATTCTAATTCTCACAGGTTTACATGTATTTTGTTTACAACGATATACACCCTGTACAAGGCCCAAAAGCCAGTCGAGGTAGAGGATTACAGAATGAAGTTGAAATATGCTGTCAACTGATGTCAGTTTGGTATATATATATATATATATATAAAAGAAATATGTTGTAGTGGTTCCAACGAGAGAAAAGTATGTATATTAAAAAGAAGAGAAGAGAGGTGCCACAAATGTTTTTGGTTGTAATGTGGATTTATTTGGAAAAAATATTATGCTTTGTTTTACATAATTTTACGACACGTGTTTCTGGTCTCGTGACCGTCTTCAGGTAAAAGTGGTGATTTCCACATACTTCAGGTAAAAGTGGAGATTTCCACACACATTCAAGGAAGAAATTCGGATTACCAACACACAAACAGAGAATGTCTCATATCGAGAATATTTCACATTGAACATGAAGAAAAATTAATTATTTTAATAATATGTGGAAATCTCCACTTTTACCTGAAGACGGTCACGAGACCAGAAACAGGTGTCGTAAAATTATGTAAAACAAAGCATAATATTTTTTCTAAATAAATCCACATTACAACCAAAAACGTTTGCGGCACCTCTCTTCTCTTCTTTTTTATATATATATATATATATATATATATATATATATATATATATATATACTGGCTGGTATTGACTATGATCAGAAGAAGAAAAACTCCGTGATAACACATGAGGACTGTCGTTCGGAATTTCCATGGCAAGTCTTTTGCACCATTACTTTTTTTATTGACAGATCTAAAAAGTGTGGATAGTCTGACACAAACCTTCACCACTTGAAACAAATCATTGTGTTGGTTTTTTAACAACTACATCTAATTAGTTCCACACATATCCGGCTACTGGAAAAACTATGAAACAATGTCAACTTCATCTTGGCACTTGAATGTACAAACTTTCTAGGACAACAACTCAGCACCAAAAGAAAAACAGCTCTTGTCGCATTAGAGCTAAAAGAAGTACAACATTGATATAGCTGCACTAAGAAGTAAGCATCAGTAGATGACATAAAATGAGAAAGCAAAATAAGACATCTACAGTGCTGCACTTTGATACAATACTTTCTCCTGAACTGTTTGTGGTCTTTTGTGGAATTCTCGAGCCGGTCTCAAAAGTCATGCCCGTCACAGGCATGCAGATAATTAGTTCGTGGTCGTCGGAACCTCATACGTCGAACTCGACGGGAGAGTCCATCATATATATATATATATATATATATGTGTGTGTGTGTGTGTGTGTGTGTGTGTGTGTAATTGTTGCATTCGCGTTGTCGATTATGGCTATCACACAAGGTCTCGGAGAGATTCACCTGTGCCTCACACGGACAAGTCTTTTAATTGATTGGTTGATTTGTTTTTTATGGTTTATCAATCCTTTGTAGGTTATTTATAGTCAGAAAATATTTTTAGATTGTAGGAGTTTTTTTTAGATAATAATAGTTTCATGATACAAGTCTTACTAATTGACACATAGCTGGGGGAGAGGAGGTGGATTCATGCCATTCACAAGAGTATTTACGCTTAAATAAATACAACGAACCCAACGGGAGTTGGAACTCTCCGATTAACAATTTTGAGCCATTATCCATTTACCACCTGCACAGCGAAGCTTACAGCACCTGGTATCTCCAAACGGTCACCAGTCTAGGTACTGACCATGCTCGACTTTGCTTAACTGCAACAATCGTACGGCAACCGGTGTTTCAACGTGATGTGACCGTATGCCTGATGTTGGTTTGGTGATGAGATAAGGAAACGAAGATAGAAAGAAAGGGAGAACGAGAAATTGAAAGAAAGGGAGAACGAGAAATAGAAAGAAAGGGAAAACAAGAAATAGAAAGAAAGAGAGAACGAGAAATAGAAAGAAAGGGAGAACAAGAAATAGAAAGAAAGGGAGAACGAGAAATAGAAAGAAAGGGAAAACAAGAAATAGAAAGAAAGGGAAAACAAGAAATAGAAAGAAAGAGAGAACAAGAAATAGAAAGAAAGAGAGAACGAGAAATAAAAGAAAGGGAAAACGAGAAATAGAAAGAAAGGGAGAACAAGAAATAGAAAGAAAGGGAAAACGAGAAATAGAAAGAAAGGGAAAACAAGAAATAGAAAGAAAGGGAGAACGAGAAATAGAAAGAAAGGGAAAACAAGAAATAGAAAGAAAGGGAAAACAAGAAATAGAAAGAAAGAGAGAACGAGAAATAGAAAGAAAGAGAGAACGAGAAATAGAAAGAAAGGGAGAACGAGAAATAGAAAGAAAGGGAGAACGAGAAATAGAAAGAAAGGGAAAACAAGAAATAGAAAGAAAGGGAAAACGAGAAATAGAAAGAAAGGGAGAACAAGAAATAGAAAGAAAGGGAGAACGAGAAATAGAAAGAAAGAGAGAACGAGAAATAGAAAGAAAGGGAGAACGAGAAATAGAAAGAAAGGGAAAACAAAGAAACAGAAAGAAAGGGAAAACGAGAAAGGGAGAAAAGAAAGGGAAAACAAGAAAAAAAAGAAAGAAAGGAGAACAAGAAATAGAAAGAAAGAGAGAACGAGAAATAGAAAGAAAGGGAGAACGAGAAATAGAAAGAAAGGGAGAACAAGAAATAGAAAGAAAGGGAAAACAAGAAATAGAAGGAAAGAGAGAACAAGAAATAGAAAGAAAGGGAGAACGAGAAATAGAAAGAAAGGGAGAACAAGAAATAGAAAGAAAGGGAGAACGAGAAATAGAAAGAAAGGGAAAACAAGAAATAGAAAGAAAGAGAGAACAAGAAATAGAAAGAAAGGGAGAACAAGAAATAGAAAGAAAGGGAGAACGAAAAATAGAAAGAAAGGGAGAACGAGAAATAGAAAGAAAGGGAGAACAAGAAATAGAAAGTAAGAGAGAACAAGAAATAGAAAGAAAGGGAAAACGAGAAATAGAAAGAAAGGGAAAACGAGAAATAGAAAGAAAGAGAGAACGAGAAATAGAAAGAAAGAGAGAACAAGAAATAGAAAGAAAGGGAGAACGAGAAATAGAAATAAAGAGAGAACGAGAAATAGAAAGAAAGGGAGAACGAGAAATAGAAAGAAAGGGAGAACAAGAAATAGAAAGAAAGAGAGAACGAGAAATAGAAAGAAAGGGAGAACAAGAAATAGAAAGAAAGGGAGAACGAGAAATAGAAAGAAAGAGAGAACAAGAAATAGAAAGAAAGGGAAAACGAGAAATAGAAAGAAAGGGAAAACGAGAAATAGAAAGAAAGAGAGAACAAGAAATAGAAAGAAAGAGAGAACGAGAAATAGAAAGAAAGGGAGAACGAGAAATAGAAAAAAAGGGAGAACAAGAAATAGAAAGAAAGGGAGAACGAGAAATAGAAATAAAGGGAGAACGAGAAATAGAAAGAAAGAGAGAACAAGAAATAGAAAGAAAGGGAAAACGAGAAATAGAAAGAAAGGGAAAACGAGAAATAGAAAGAAAGAGAGAACGAGAAATAGAAAGAAAGAGAGAACAAGAAATAGAAAGAAAGAGAGAACGAGAAATAGAAAGAAAGGGAGAACGAGAAATAGAAAGAAAGCGAGAACGAGAAATAAAAAGAATGGGATGAAAGTGATAGAAAGATAGAAAAAAGGGCATGCAGTGAAAGAGGTAAAATGTGATAGAAAGGAAGGGGGAGGAAAAGGTAGAAAGAAACGTAAAGAAATGTGAAGAGGAAGGAACCAAAAATGCAGACGAGACAGAAAGAAAGAAATAGAAAGAGGAATGAAGGGGTAGAATAGACAGAAAAGATAACGAAATGGACGAATGAATAGAAAGAACTAATAGTAGTAGTAGTTGTAGTAGTACTACCACTAATACTAGTAGTAGTAGTAGTAGTAGTAGTAGAAGAAGAAGAAGAAGAAGAAGAAAGTCAAAACTAGAAAGAAGAAGAAAAAAAAAGAACAAGTAAAGACAAAGAAAAGGAAAGAAATAAACTGAGTAAGGAATAGAAAAAACGGGGAAAGAAGAAGCAAAAGGCAAAGCAAAGACAAATAGAAAGAAGAAAGGATAAAAAACGTGGGAAGAAGAGACAATAAAAAGCAAAGAAATAAAAAGAAGAAGAAATACAAAGAACGAGGAAAGAAGAACCACAGGAAAATGAAAAAAAAAAGAATGAAACAGGAGGGAATAAATAAACTGAGGAAGAAGAAACAGAAAACAAAGCAAAGAAATAAAAACAGGGAATAGATCGGTATAAGTGGTAATAGAAGGAAAAGCCATAAAAAAAATAGACAGAGGAAGAAATAATAAAAACGGAAGAAGAAGAGACAGAAATAAAAATAAAGAAATAAAAATAAGAAAGAAAAGAAGGAACGATGACAGAAGAAGAAATAGAAGGAAAGAAAGGAAAGAGAAAAGGAAAGGAATGGAAAGAAGAGCGAAAATAGAAGCAGAAAGAAAGGAGAAAAAGAAAGAAAAGGATGGCGGCCATGAAAGAAAAGGGGAAATATAAATTTAATAAATCAACAAGGAATTTCGGACAATGGTAAATAGTTGGTCTTCGAGACTTGATAATTCAAGTCGCGCCGTTCCACAGTGCAATATATCGTCAAGGATTCCATCAGATAAGAATGACAATTAAGTCGCGGCTGACCCCATTATTTCTCGATAGAGAATCAGTCTCACAAGTAAAGCTGGCAAGCCACCATAACAGTGGACTATGTTCACTGTCGTTAATTATCAGTTCATATCGAAAGCGCTGATTATTATTATTATTATTCTATATGCCATGTCCCTTTACAATGTTGGCGATCATGGCTCTCCACAATATCCTGTCCTTTGGAGCTGTTATTAATTATTTTTTATTCGGTCGAGCTAACTCAGACATTTATGTGTCTATCAGCCAACCATCACGATCCCGCCTCAAGGTCGGAAGGTCATAAGGGTGGTATTCTGTGTCATAACATAGCTGGTCAATGTGGGTGGTTGTTGGGCTACCAACCCGTCTTGCTCCATGGCTAGGTGTCCAGAGCAGTAAATCAATCGCGAATTTGTTTTGTTCGCCCGCAGTGTTTCGCAGAACGCATTCGCGTAAGATTGTAGAAATATCAGGCATGGTTGTTTTATTATTATCTCTCTTAAACCCTTTTCTGTCATCCATTTATTTACATAACCTCACTAGATAGGTTGTAAGCTGTTTTCCTTTATCTCTCTGTCTTTCAATATGTCCTGTCAGTGTCAAGTTTTCCAAACCCTCTTTCCTCATTATGTGCCCCACAGATTTCAACTGACTCTTTTTGATATTAAGTATAAGTGTCATTTTTAAAAGAATTTTCTCTAAAACTTTGCTCGCATGTTCAATCCATGGTATTCTCAGCATCTTTCTGTAGAACCATGTTTCTGTTTCTTTTGGTCTCTTCTTTATGCTTGAGTTGGCAGTTCCCACTTCACTTTTACATTTATCTGAATTTTGGGTAGATAGAAGTTATTATTATTACTTACATTATTTACATGTAGACTGATAGATGTGCGGGTGGTGTAATGGATTTCGACTCGGAATGAAAAATAAAAGAGCTGAGTTCGAATTCTAGTCGAATTCGTTACATTCACTTACGTGAAAATATCCTTTGGAAAGATATTAATGGAGATGTTAGGCTAGTAAGAATATTTCAAGTTTACATTTCCCCATTCTAGGCCTGTTTATATCCGTGATATAGTAACACCTTAACGTACGGACGGGAAAGGATAACTGAAAGAAAGGAACGACAAGCAAGAATTATTCTCAATTTTTCATACAAGAAACTATATACAAATATATCAATAATTGCCAATAATTTGTCCTACACCGAGAAATTGTAACATGTATTAAACAAGCAGAGTGAAAAGAACAAGAGAGTCTTACTTGTAATATTCACCAAAGGGAACGCGATCAGGCTGGTGGTTCGTTATACAAACTCAAGGTACCACGTGGTCTCTTCTGTGTTTTCTGCCGCTGTGGGCTTGAGAACGGTTGCCAACGAAGGTAGTGAACACAGGTACCTCTGTTATTTCACCCCTTTATTTAATTTAGCTGTTGAGAGAAGAGGCTTAAAAGAGTATTTGTGTGAAAGTGAACGATACGTACTATTCCGGAATTCGAACTCGGCTCACCGATTACCCTTTCAGCAAACACGGTGTACAGATTACTCTACACTTAAAAAAAATACCTCCCCAAATTTTCTAAAAAAGAGAATATCATGATGAAAAAAGGCTCTAGATTTGATAAAAACAAAGTCAAAATATTTATGTTATTATTAAGAAGAAAGAGCAAAATATTTTTTATTATTTATAATTTTTTTTAATCCTTTATAGCACGTTCGAAATTTTGGCTAAAATCTTATTTTTCCTTTATCAGTGGGTGGTCCAAAGATAAGTAGCGAGGGTACTCCTTAGTATTCCCGGGTACTTAAAAATTATATATAAAAGGCGCTCACGTTAATTCAATTACTTTTTAACACCTAAAGCTCCTATAGAACAATATTAAATAAATACTAATCTGCCATCAAGCTATCAAACCTGGGAACGCATTAAATAAACGGCTACTTAAAGAATGCATTTTTTGCGATATTTTAAACTTAAAGTAAGTAATATTTTTTTCCAAACAAGATTAATTATAGTTTAAATCAGCGAAGTTTCAGAAAAGTATATTTTATTTTTGGAAGATTTTTTTGTTAATAAAGAGAATTACATTGCGATGAAAGACAATGAAAAAAAGGAACGCTACTGAACTATTTTAGCAAAAGAAACAAAAAAAAAAAATCCTTCCATACAATTTAAATTGGTTTTTGAAATACAACAAAGTATTTTTGCTTATTGGAAATATTAAACTTAATCTATTAGCCTGAAATTAGAACTAAAATAAAAGCCTAAAGAAAGATTTTTCATTGTTAAAAATGATTTTAAACCTTAAGTACTGCGTTTTAATGGAGGTCTCTAATTAAAAGTGAAACTACTACCGTCTTCTTTTTTTCCTTCAATTAAAATTTTGGGCAATGCTGAGAGTGTTTTATTTTTTCGAAAATCCGATTCTTGCCCATTTTCAGACTTATTCCTTTCTTGCAAAGTTTCTTTTTTTAATCCAACATCATCAGAATGAACAAGATGTGTTCATTCTCTGATTGTTATTGTTCGTCCGACTGGAAAATATTGTTTTCCCGCCAAACAAGACATGATTTGCCGCCATTTTACAATTTTCTCGCTCCAATTTTCTTTATTTGATTTTTTCCCGTTTCATTTCTTTCACCATCCGATTAAATGAATTTACACACACAAAAGATTAATACTGGCATAAAGTACCAAAAAATCAACAAATCTAACCACAAACTTTGCTAATGTCAAACTCTGGTTGCACGTTGGTGAACAAATCACTACCGGGTCTTCTTTATTTTATTCACAGTCGGTATTGATGGCTTCGAAGACTGAATTTAAGAAAAACCGACTAAAACGGCTTATCTTTTTTTCAGAACAAATATAAAACAATGTTACATTGACAATGTGAAGCTTAAACTATGAAATGAACAAAGACAAAAAGAAAACTCAGAGGACATATTTCGTCCTATGATAGACTTTATCAATGCAAATTATGAAATTAATGAATTATGAAATAAATAAATAAAATAATTATAGATAGGAAAGAGGAAGAATTGAAGAGAGAATAAAAATGAAGCAGATAGGAAACGAAAGGGTGAATTCAGGGAGATGAAGATGAATAAGAAAAGAATAAAGTGGGGGGGGGGAAGTAAAAGAGTAGGAAGAGGGAAAGATAGATAATAAGACAGCAAACAGGAAAGAGACGGTTAGAAAGAGATTAAGAACCGGAAGGAGATTGAAAAGAAAAGGATAAAGGAAAAAGTGAGGGATGAGGGAAAAGAGGAGAACGAAGAAAAAGAAAAGGAGAGGGAAAGATGGATAATAAGAAGGAAAACAGGAAAGATTAAGAATCGGAAGAAGACAGAAAGAATGAAGGAAAAAGTAGGGGAAGAAAGAATATAAGAGAAGGGAAAAATGGAGGAAGAAGAAAAAGAGAAGGAAAGATGAATACCAAGAAGGAAAAAAAAGGAAAGAGATGCCTAGAAGAAGATGAAGAATCGGAAGATGGCGAAACTAAAAAGATTTAGATAACGTAGGAGAAGAGGGATTATATATATATATATATATATATATATATATATATATATATATATAATAGTTATTGATCAGAGGGAATTCTGAAGATACCGAAAGGTTGAAACCAAGGTAGCGTGATTGGCTGATTTACTAATTTTTTAAACTTATATATATATATATATATATATGTGTGTGTGTGCGCGCGCGCGTGTGTGTGTGTGTGTGTGTGTGTGTTTAGGCAGCAATCCTTCTTTCATGCACATTTCAATGAATACGACAGACAAGGTGCTTTAATTTACTTTTTTATACAATTTCTCATGTGATCTAATTTTTTTTCTTTTCAGATGATAAATTATATAAAAAACTATCTGAATGTTCTTTTAATCCGGGCACTTTCCGCTATACATTTAGCCATTTTGAAGGATGAAATATTTTAACTGTTAAATAAGAAATAGTTTGTTCCATGTATGTGTGTAGATAATGTTTTCATTTTTCAAAACACGGTCAAGATATTGTGTCCATGTTCTCATTTCTTATTTAACAGTTAAAATATTTCATCCTTCAAAATGGCTAAATGCATACGGTGAACCTTAAATCCTGTTTGTTTATGGCATAAAAATATTATAGGATATGTGTGTCTCAGCAAACCGTTTAAAATTAGCATTCAAGGACAGTGGAACAAGTGGATGATTAGCGGGAAAAGTCATTCAGGGTGCTGTATGAGGTACTGTAGATTGTAATAGTTAATTGACAATATCTACCCACCGTTTTTTCATTAGAATTCGAGTGAAAAGAAAGTATATGCTTACTGATTTTATTTAATAAATTCAATACAATACATAAATAAAAAAAAATGGAGAGTTCGTCTTGTACGGCGAATATAGTCCGAAACCTACATTTTCACTTGAAAATTTGGGGGCCGTCTCATATTCTCAGTCACCTTGTACAACATATATATATATATATATATATATATATATATATATATATATATATATATATATATGTGTGTGTGTGTGTGTGTGTATATAAATAAAAAGAAAGAACAGTAGGATATAAAATCCGGTGTTCTTCTTTTTTTTTTTTTAAAATCCAGACGACATCCATTCAACTGATGTCAGGTTTCATTGTAAAATACATCCCTACCCCTTACCAAATTGTAGCTAATAACTGATACAATGATACTGACATAAGGAAAATCTAGACATCCCTTGTTCAATTTAAGTAGAATATTCTGTAACCATGGAAACGTGATTTTAGCTGTGTCTTTAAAACCCGGTAATTTTTAAAAGTTACTCCAAAAATTCGCTTAAAGATGAAATGGAACTAATGCTTTTAATTTAATTG